ATCACTTCTTCCATTTGCTATAGCTACTCTATCTTTCTGACATTCATTTTGGTCTTTACTTTCTTTACTGTCTTTTTAATGACCTTTTGGTTTCTTTATGCATGATGTCCTTGATGTCATCCCACAACTTGTTTCATCTTCAGTCATTAATGTTCAATGTGTCAAATCTATTCTTCAGATGGTATCTAGGTATAGCTGGTATATACTAGTACATGTCACTTTAAGGACTAATGTTCACATGACCCAAGCCATGATATTTACAATAACCTCATATGTACACAAAAGCTGGACAATGAATAAGGAAAACTGATGCATTCAAATTATGGTAAAGAATATTGAATATAACATGGACTGCCAGAATTAACAAATCTGTTTTGGAAAAACAGCTAGAATGTTCCATAGAAGGAAGGATGGTGATATTTTCTCTTACACACTTTGGACATGTTATCAGGAGTAACTAGACCTTGGAGAAGAACATCATGGTTGCTAAAGTAGAAGGTCAGCAAAAAAGAGGAAGACTCTCAGTGAGAAAGACTGACATGGTGGCTGCAACAATGGTCTCAGACATCACAGTAGTGGAAATTGTGCAGGAATAGACAGAGTCCTATTCTGTTGTACACAGGGTCACTATGAGTCAGAACCAACACAGTGGCACCTATCAATAATAATATACTTATACTCAGGATTGTACTTTGATTCTTATACATAATTATTTTAATTTTCTTCATCTTCAGCTTGAACTTGCACATGAGCAATTGATGATCAGTTACACAATAGTCCACTGACTTGTTCTGATTGATATTCTCCATTGTCTCCTTTCACAGATTTTGATTCTTATCTATTTCATCCAGCAAGATCTACATGTACAATTGCCATTTATGTTGTTTGAAAAATATTTTTTCAATGAATAATTCATGGGTCTTGCAAAATTCTATCATGTGATCTCCTGCATCATTTCTATCACTAAGGTCACTAAAGTTGGAAACTAAGATCCATCCCTCTTAGTTTCCAACTTTTACATTCCAATCACCTATAATTATCTTGATTGCATATTTGATCTATTTCAAAATTCAAAAGTTGGTAAAAGTCATACATCTATTCATCTTTGGCATTAGTGATTGGTGCATAAATCTGAATAATATTTGTAAGAGGGTGAGTCAAAAATTATCTGCACTCTGGCTATCGCATTTGTTTGAATCAACTTTTAGAAAAGACAAATACATAATTTTTGACATACTCTCCATGCTTTTCAATACACTTTGCCCATCTATCAACAAGTTTTCATATTCCCTTATCAAAAAATGTTTCAGACTGAGCAGCAAACCACAAATGCACCACTGTCTTCACTTCTTGTTCAGAGGTGAATTTTTGTACTTGAAGGGCTGCTTTCAGGGGACAACATGGGTGAAAGTCTGATGGAGCAAGATCAGGACTATAGGGAGGATGCTTTAACACCTCAAAATGAAGCTTTTTCAGAATGTCAATAGTGTGGGAAGAGGTGTGTGGATGTGTTCTGTCATACAAGATCACAAAGCCCTTAGATAGCAGTCCTCTACATTTAATCCAAAGTTTAGGCTTTACTTCTTCAGTGAGCATCTCACTGTAACAAGCATTGTTGGTTGTTGAACATTTTTCCTTACAGTATTCCAGTACTGGCCCTTGAGAATCCCAGGAAACTGTAAGCATCAATTTTCCAGTCAATGGCTGACTTTTGAACTTTTTCTTGGTCAGTGATTGAGGATGTTTCTATTCCATACTCTGCCACTTACTCTCAGGCTCATAGTGATGAACCCATGTCTCATCATCAATAATTTTTATAAGAAACTTTTACCTTGCTTCGAGTATGGTCCAAATTTTGTTTTCAGATGTCCAAACACTTCGGTTTATGCTCTTCATGAGTTGTTTCAGTACCCATCTCGCACAAACTTTACAAAATCCAAGTCTGTCATAGATTATTTCATAGGCAGAGTCATAGCTGATTTGCAAATGATTTACCATATAATCCACTGTCACTTGTCTAGTCAACAAAATTGTTTCACGTGCATCCTCAACGTGTTTTAATATAACCAGAATGCAGCTCATTTTTGACTCATCCTTGTATTAACTGATCTTCCTTGCATGCATATGAATATTGCCCTATCACATACAGCATTGTACTTCAGGATGGATCCTGAAATGTTCTTTTTAACAATGGATGAGATGCCATTTAACTTCAATTTGTTATTTTTGACCTAGTAGACCATATGACTGTCCAGTTCAAACTTGCCAATTTTCCACTCACTAATGAATAAGATATTGATCTTCAAGCATTCCCTTTTAGTCTGACAGCTTCCAATATTCCTAGAGTCATACTTTATACATTCCATGTTCCAATTACTAATGGATGTTTACAGCTGTTTCTTCTCATTTTGAATTATGCCACATCAGCAAATGAAGGTCATTCAAGCTTTACTCCATCCATATCAGTACGGTCAACTCTACTTTGAGGAGGCAGCTCTTCCTCAATCATATTTAAAGTGTCTTCCAATCTGAGGGACTCATCTTCTTACACTGTATCAGACAAAGTTCTATGCTGTTCATAAGGTTTGCACTAGCCAATTTTTTTCAGTACATTGTCAGGTCCTTCTTCCCAGTTTTCTAGAAGTGCCACTGAAATTTGTCCACAAGGGTGAACCTCATGGTATTTAAAATAATGGTTGCATAACTTACAGCACCACAGCAGAACAAACTGGTAGATGAATGATAGAACACGCTCTTAAGACACAATAGAACAACTATTGGTTTTTGTAAATTTCTAGTGCTGATGAGTTTGTCCAGTATGAAGATCATAAAGTATTTGTAAGCCTCATCTTTAACTACACTATTGAGGAAAGGGAACCTCTTAGAAAGATTTTTTAAATGTCTTGTGATATCCCACACAATGAAAGTGAGGAGAGTGAAGCAGCTCTTGTTGTGTGTGTAACAGGGACATCTCCTCCAAAACATTAGAATGATAACAAAAAGGCTCTGAGGAATTTCATATATGATCATCTATATATTTGTCAATGTGAAGAAGCAATTTTTAATATGAAATTTTCATAAGTCATTGGATTACAAAAATTCAGTCACTTAGCTAGATAACCTATAGTTTTAGTAAAGATGATGCCTTCTTCCAAATAATTTATAATTAGCTGAGTGGTATTCAAGACTGAAAATCTCTAGAGACTATTTGAAATTATCTATAAATGACTTGCATTAATGCAACCTTCAAAAAGCATTTTGAGGGGCACCTATACTATCCAGATTCTGAAGACAACATCCATTGAGGAAACAGTTGAACACTGATATTATCTTGTCATAGGTTACCTCCAAGGACAGAGGGAAGAGATGAGAACAAAAGTGGTCATGTGGGTGCTCTAGTTTTTCCTATAATATTTATTTCTTTACAAAAAGAAGTGCAAAATAAATATGACAAAAAATATTACTATCATAAAATCTAGACAGTGAACACATTAATGTTGTTTAAAGTACTTATAACACTTTAAGTATATTAAAAATACTGCTCAATTTAAATTCCTTTAATTTAATAAATTATATCTAGCTTCTAAAACATACATTATTAAGAACAATCCAAGAATCTGTGGCTAGACACCCAAATTCATTGCAAGTGATATGTGCAAATTTAGAATGCCTTCCATCATTCAATTCAAACACAGAGGAAGAGTAGTACATAAGAACAAACAGAACTGAACTCAAATCCCAATTCTGGGAACGTGCCAGCTCATCCACTTTGGGCAAGTTAGCTGCTAAAGTAATTTGTCACCCCTTCTTTATCTATAAAATGGTGGTTTCTACTATAAAAGTTGTACTCGTACATGGTGATGTGCTTGCCATATTTGGGCATCCAGTATTAATCCAGTATTAATGTACCATATTTGGGCATCCAGTATTAATCCCCAGCTAGAAAGATGAAGGGTGGTAGACAATTCATCCAACAGAACCCCAAGAGGAAGTCAGCTGCTTCTCATGATAAGAGCTGAGCTATAAAACTGGCTGAGAGCCTTGTGGCCAGCAAAGAAGAACTATGAGGTTCATCTTGTCTGTGAGTTTGATCGCTACTACCCTTGCAATTGCTCCGGTCCGTTTTGACAGGTAAAGTTTCCTGTCTTGTATTCTAGTCTTCTTTGTGGGAAGAGGATTAAGGAATGTTTCTTTACAGTTCACATTTTTCATCTTTTATGTTCTTAAAGGGAAAAGGTCTTTCGCATGAAACCCAAGGATGAAAAGCAAGCAAACATTATAAAGGATTTGGCTAAAACCAAGGAGGTAAAGTATTTAGAAGAATTTTTCCCATTATCTTAGAGTTGTTTTCTTCTGCTGCTGTTGCTCCTCCTCCTCCTTCTTCCTCATTTTCCTCTTCTCTTTTTAATGACCTTTCCAAGAGAAGGTCCATTTTAAAAGGAGACTCTTAATGTTAGATTAACCTTTAAAATCCAACCAAACAGATTCTACTGAGTGGATTCCAGCTCATGGCGACCCTATAGGACAGAGTATGACTGCCCTGTAGGATTTCTTGTATGAATCCTGGTATGGTGCTGTAGGATAAGCACATGACCTCAAGGTCGGTTTGAACTGCAACATGGGTGGTCCAAACTCACAAGCCAGCCCGCAAATCCCTATACAGGGTTGCTTTGAGTCAGAACCGACTCGACAGCACACAACAACAACAACAATCTTTATACAAAAGCAGACTACTACAATTTTTACTCACAGAGTGGTTGCTGGGTTCATATAGTTGACCTTTCAGTTAGCATCCAAGGGCTTTAATCAATGTGCCAATTTTATTGTTATTTTCAAGTGCCATTGAGTCGGTTCTGACCCACAGCGACTCTGTATAGGGTTTTCAAGGAGCGGCTAGTGAGCTTGAACCACCGACCTGGTAGTTCAAACAGCTTTGCCATCTAGCACATTAACCCACAGTGCCACACCAGGACTTCTTTTATCTGGCTGTTGTTATGTGCTGTTGGAGTCAGTTCCAACTCATAGTGACCCTGTCAAGGCTGTAGATTTTTACAGGAGCAGAAAGCTTCATCTTTCTCTTGTGGAACAGCTGGTAGTTTTGAACTGCTGACTGTGAAATTAGCAGCCCGATTTATAACCACTACGCTACCAGAGCTCCCTTCTTTATTTGGCTAACACCTACTTATTCAAGACATGGCTTGGCAGCATTCATTATAGAAAGCCTTCTTTAACTATCAATTCTTGTGACCTACTTTGACTCTTTGTCCTCCATATGCACCTGTCCTAGCCCCTGGAATTGGTTGACATTTTGGAATATAAGGCTCTGTCACCTACATTAATCTGCTTGCTTCTCATAAATTCCTCACTAGCCTTTATAATGTGGCACCTAGTTCTATGCCTGGAGCTTGGAAATGCTCTGAGCTCTACAATCCTGCTCCACATCACCTTGTTAGAACAGAGAAATTGCTATTGTGATTAGATGGCCCTGCCTAACTCTCCTTTAAATCATGTATTCGTGATGTCCAGTGCATAAATTTTAATGAAAGCAAACAATCAGATTGTTTAGTTCATCACAGTCTCAAATTGTCAAACAATTGATTGACCTAGAAGTTGAGTGAAATACACCTAAAAAACAGCCAGGCAGACTTAGAATGTTACAAGCTTAGTATGATTTGTAGAAATTAGGCATTTGCTAGGTTGGAGAATTATACCTCATTTGGTTTAACAAACTGATAGTGTTTTTAAAGAACCACAAGAACTGGAATCTTCCCAAGGTTTTTATAACCTAAATGTTAAGTTTCTGGAACCATTCACCTGATTACTGAAATTCTCAGCTCAGGAAAGAGAAAGACTTAGTAGTTGTTAGCTGCCTGCATGTCTTAGACTCATACTTATTTTAACAATTTTTACAATGCTCCCAGAAGAGTTGGCCTAGCCCCATTTTCCAAGAGAGTGGACTAAAATTCAAAAAATGTCAGTAACTTGCCCAAGAATATACTGAAAGGAAAATGACAGAGGCAGGAGATTACGGCATCTGTTGGATACAAACCGTCCAGAAATTCCAGAGTCCCCAGGGGCATTTGTCTTGAGGCCTGACTGAGGGGAAATTAATCTAAATTTTCTATTAGAGCCAGATGCTCTGTTTAAATCAATTGTGACACAATACCAATCAACCCCAAACAAGAAAAGAGATTAGGCAAAAAATGAACCATTCTTTCTTCATTTATAGATACTATGTCTTTTATTATTATTATTATTATTATTATTATTATTATTATGCACTGAGTGATAGTTTACATGGGAGAACATGGGCTTTATACCATCATTTCATTGCAATGATTACAATCTTCTCCATGCATTATCATTCAACAGTATTTGCTTCTATTCCCTCTATTTTGTTTTGGGTTTTTTTGTTTGTTTCTTTGGTTGGTGTGTTTTTGGGGGTGGGGTGGGGTGGGTAGGTTGTTGTTGTTGTTAAGTACCGTGGAGTTGGTTCCAACTCATAGTGACCCTACATAAGGTTTCGGAGGTTGTAAATCTTTATGGGAGCAGACCGCCTCATCTTTCTCCCGCGGAATGGCTGGTAGTTTCAAACTGCCGACCTTAAGGTTAGCAGCCCGATTCGTAATCTCTATGCTACCAGAGCTCCTTGGGGTAGGTAGGTACTATGTCTTTAAAAGAAGCTCCAGTGGCATAGTGGTTAATTGCTCAACTGTTAACTGAAAGATCAATGATTGGAACCTACCAGTCACCCTGCAAAAGAAAGCTATGGCAGTCTGCTTCCATAAAGATGTGTAACAGTTCTACTCTGTTACACACGGTCGCTAGGAGTCAAAATCTACTCAACAGCAATAGGTTTGGGTTTGGGTTGGGGCAGGGGCATGGTTATGTTTTTAAAAAAGCAATTAGCATAAACATTTTCTTACCCACTCCTTAATAATAGCTTTCAAATATATTTGTACAAATCTTATAAACACATTAAGAAGAGGATCCATATCTTCATCACCACTGAAAACCAGATTCCTCTCATGGTGATAATATATAATCATGTATAACAAATATACATTGGGTGAGCAAGTAAATAAACTGTAACTAACACTGAATTCACCTTCGCAGCTTGACTTCTGGTATCCAGATGCTGCCCATCATGTAACCGCTAACATGATGGTGGATTTCCGAGTGAGTGAAAAGGACTCCCAATCCATCCAATCTGCCTTGGAAAAAAACCAAATGCACTATGAGTAAGTCCTAAGTAGACATTCAAATGTGTTGGATATTAAAAAGTTTGAGATGTCTTGAAATGGGGATTAAAGTATTGTTTGTTGGTTGCTATTGAGTTGATTCCATCTCAGAAAGAACCTATGCATGCAGAGGAGAATTGTTCCTTAGGGTTTCAAGGCAGTGACCTTAGAGAAGCAGATCTTTAGACCTGTTTTCTGAAGTGCCTTGGAAGTATTTGAACTGCCAAACAGTAGTCAAACACTTAACCACCCAGTGACTCCTGAGCAAAGTATTACAATGAACTATTTGAACCCTGGTATGGTGCTATGGGATAAGCACTGGACTGCTAATCACAAGTTCAGTAGTTTAAACCCACCAGATACTCCTCAGGAGGCTGAAGAGGCTGTCTGCTGTGTTAAAGATACTCAGAAACTCTATACAAAGTAGCTAGGCATCTTAATTGACTCGGTGACAGAGAGTTTATTTTCAATTAGAACCAAAAAAACCTAAAGCTCTTTGAACAATTATGCCAAACAGACTATTAAATCCTGGTTATAGATAAGCACTGGACTGCTGACTACAAGGTCACCGGTTGCTCCTCTGGAGGAAGACAAGGCTTTCTGCTTCTGTAAAAACATACAGACTCAGAAACCCTATACAAGGTCGCTATGAGCCGGAACCAGCTCCACAGCACGTAACAACAGAAATAACATAGAGGTAATGAGATCAAACTTAGCAGCTCAACCTCCATCTTAAGTTTGTTCTGGCAAGAACATGACAATTACCTATGTCTACATCTCCAAAAACCAGCTGCTCAAAAGGTAGGATCCCACATGAGTGTAGAAGAAGTTTAGCATACAACATCACTACTAACAGGTAATCAGAGCTCAGAAACTATTGGGGACTACCAGCACCATGTTGGTTCATGTATTTTAATTTCCCTGGTACATAAAAAGTGGCTCCCCAAATGGTGCTTTCTTTAAGTTAGAGATATTGGCATGTGAAACATATAATAAATAATTCTTTATAAATGAAAGTCCCGGTGTGGTGCTGTAGGATAACCACAGGACCACAAGGTCAGTTTGAACCACAAGGTCAGTGGTTCAAACTCACCAGCTGCTTCTTGGAAACCTTATACAGAGTCCCTGAATCGGAACCAACTTGACAGCACTTAACAACAACAAATGAAAGAGATTCTCCCTCTGAGAAAGCAAAGATAAAACAGTAGAGTAAGACTTAAATCAAAGAGGAAAGTTGTTGTTAAGTGCCATCGAGCCAGTTCCGACCCATAGCAACCCTGTATAGGGTTTCCAAGGAGCATCTGGTGAGCTTGAACCACCAACCTTGCAGTTCAAAGAGCTTTGCAGTCTGGTGCATTGCCTCACATCATCACACCAGGACTCCAAAGAGGAAAGTAAGAATCTCAAATAGCCAACCATGCAGAATTCTGGCCTTGTTGTTATTGTCAGGTGTCTTCAAGTCGATTCTGACTCATAGTGACCTGTATAGGATTTTCAAGGGAGAAGAGGCTGATACGTGTGAAAAGCTGACCTTGTGATTCACAGTCCAGTGTTTATCCTATAGCATCACACCAGGATTCCCATGTAGAGTAATAAAGGAAAGCTATGATTTACTGAGCATCAATAATGGGCCAGGCACAGGCTGGGCCCTGGGAAGCAAGAAAGGAGCTCAAACAATGATTATCCCAAATCAACATGTAATTTACAAAACAAAGTGGTTTTAGACTTTCAAACATTTAGAGGTTTATTGCTCTGGGGAGTCCTGTTTTAATTCTACTATACTTTACCATTCCAGGGTTCTCCTTTTTATTGGGACTTCTTGGACTCTCAAAACACTGCTAAACACTAGATCTTTTATTCTTTTGAACTTGTTATTTTCTGGGACTCTGGTAACCTCAAGGTCAGCAGTTCAAAACTACCAGTGGTTCCGGGGGAGAAAGATGAGGTGTTCTGCTCCCGTAAAGATTTACAGCCTCGGAAACCCTGTGCAGGGTCACTATGAGTCGGAACCGACTCCACGGTACTTAACAACAACAACTGGTAACATAGTGGTTGTGAGTTGGGCTGCTAATTTCAAGGTCAGCAGTTCAGTTCGATCCCATTTGTTTAAAATTGCAATGGAAAGCTCTGTTCTTGTCTCCAGCTGTTCCGCAGGATGAGAAAGATGAGGCTTTCTGCTCCTGTAAGATTTACAGTCTCAGAAACCCTATACAGGGTCACTGTAAATTAGAACTGACTCCATGGCACACCACCACCACTACCTTAGTGCTTTAACTCAAAAGGCCTCCTTATTCTGACAAGCACAAAAAAAGATAACTTTTAAGTCATGCTGCACAGTGGGATTTACTGTGGCTCATCACCTCTTGTTTGTATTTATAATATTGCTACAATATCCTTAATAAAATCTAAACTATATTGAAATTAAGGAAAGACATACAGAAGACAAGTAAACCAAACACAATCCCTGTTCATGGCTGAAAATGCAGGCTATTGTTTTTGATGTTTTTTGTTACTGCTAGGAATTTTGTTGTGATAAGAATTTTAAAGTTATTAAATTTGGAGACCATAATTCAAAATCAATTTATACCAGCATTTTACCAGTTGCCACCAAGTTGATTTCTACTCATAACAACCTTGTGTATTTAAAATCCATAAGATTTTAAAAGACGATTTTTATGGAAGTAGATCGCCTGCCCAGTTTTTCCAAGGAGCTTCTGGGTGCAATGGACCAACCAACCTTTTTGTTAGCAACTGAGTGCATTAACCATTTGCATCTCTCAGGGACTCCTACACCAGCACTTTAACACTTTTTAATTACTGTAGTAGTTTGAGCCCTGAAGTGGCACTGTAGAATAAGCACTGGACTGGTAACTGCAAGGCTGGCAGTTCAAACCCACCAGCTCTAGGAAACCCTGTATTGGGTCACTATGAATCAGAACTGACTTGATGGCACACAGCAAGACTGTGCTTTTCTATGCTTTTATAAATTGCATGATTAAAATTAGAAATAAAGTATAAATATACCTCCAAGATCTCAGTTCGAAACTACCAGACATTCCGCGGGAAAAAGATGAGGCTTTCTGCTCCCGGAAAGGTTTACAGCCTCGGAAACCCTATACAGGGTCGCTATGGGTCGGAAACAGCTCGACAACACTTAACAACAACAACAATAAAGATCTCAGAATTCAGTATTATACACATTATTGGCAATCTGCTTATTTGTCATTTGGATGACATTTTGATTCTTCTAACAGATTGAGCTAAAAGAAATCAACTCTCCATGCTACATAACCACTGGCTTCTCAAATGAATGCCTTGGTTTTTGCACTCTTCACTTTATTTCATTAATATAGACCTGATCTGGATTCCTATAAACCACTAAATTCATACAAAGTATCCAGACCATAAAAAGACCAATCCCTGAAGAAAGGCATCAAGCTTAGCAAAGTGGGGGACAGCAAAAAAGAAGACCCCCAACGAGACGGACTGGCACAATGGCAGCAGCAATGGGCTTAAGTATAGCAGCAGTTGTGAGTATGGGACAGGACTGGGCAGTGTTTCATTCTGTTATGCGTAGATAGGGTCTCTACAAATTGGAAACAACTCGATGGCACTTAACAACAAATCCAGCCCAAGCTAAAATAAAGTCGTTTCTGGCCAAATTTTATGTAATTTGGCTTTAGGAGCATGGTGAAGTGAGACTTTAGGTTTTTGTTAATCCTGATGATATAGACAAAAACCTAGTTGCTTGACATGAGCATGGATAGTGGAGTAGCCACTGTGACAAGAGTTGAATTAGACAGGCAGCTGACAGGACTACTTTACTAAAAAACCTGGGCTTCAAACCAGTTCATTCTGGCTCTATACCCTGCTAATGGTTTGTCATTTTCACCCCAGATACACATTATCAGAATCTACATTTTAACAAGATTCCAGGGTGATTCTTATAGATCTGTCAAGTAATTCTTAAGATCTTGTTATTCAAATTCAAAATTTTCAAATTTTTGAAATGCAAAGTTTCAGGAGGGAGTAAACCCAGAATGAACCAGTTCAAAGCCCTGCAAAGAACTCACAGCAGCTCCTCTTCTCTTTGGTCATCTAAGTTTTCCTGGTGTTGTTGTTGTTGTTAAGTGCCACTGAGTTGGTTCAGACTCATAGTGACCCTGTATAGGGTTTCAAGAAGTTGTATTGGTTTGAACCACAAACCTTGAGGTTTGAAGCCCAGTGCTCATCCTACAGCGCCATACCAGGACTCCATCTTGGTTAGAACAAATGAAAAACCTACTATTCCTAAGAATCTGGATTAAACCTCTATTTGAGTCCGCTGTAGGATAAGCACTGTACTGCTAATTGCAAAGTCAGCAGTTCAAACCCACCAGCTGCTATGCGTTGGAACTGACTCAATAACACTTAACAGTAACAACAACAAATTCCCAGAGACTGTCTTGCTATCTACGACAAGACTCAAAGTGTTAAACTACCTATAAAAATTAGTTTTATCTAATTAGAACATGATTTCTAGAAATTGGCCCAAATTAGCCACAGTTGTGGGAAATCCACATAATTAGATAGATACTTTCCTCAGAAATATAAATATGTAAAGTGATCTATGCAGACAAGAACTATTTAAAATCTTGTCTCCAAGTACTAATTATATAGATAATTTTATTTGCATATTAATTATATGTGTTCCTTGGTGTCAGTCAGTAACAGAAGAGGATTCTAAGAACAGAAACATCTGGTTGGACTCAGGCACCAGGCTGAATAAAACTATATTAAGAGGCTGGTTTGACACAATGATTTACTTAGACACCCTTCATTAGACAGTGCATATAAACCACTATTTAGCTTAAAGCATCTGTGTGTCATATATTTTTTTTAATTTTCAGAAAATTAAATGACTAAGACAGATTTGATTTTTAAAGCAAGTATGCTCACGTCTCTTTTATTTACACTTTTGTAAAATCATAAAAGGCAAGCCCCAAAAACAAATACCATGC